TTTTTTAATTTGTTTTTTAGTTCTTCGACATATAGCAATGGTTAAATATTTCAGAATTATGGTTTAAATTTCATCAAAATCGGACGACTATATCATATAGCTCCTATACAAATAATGAAAATATATAAAAGAACAATCAAAAAATTAAGCTGCAAATCTTCATAGCTTCAATGTTTTTAAACATATACGCAAGTAAATCATAATTTTAATGTTTTCAAAAATATTTAATTCTTGCGATAGCTGCAAGGGTATATGAACTTCGGCTTGCCGAAGTTTGCTTTCTTTCTTGTCTAATTTGTATCCTAAAATAATAAAAGTTCATTGCAAACTTAATTTACCAGGGGCTTTTTTATACCCTTGCAGAGGGTATTATAATTTCAGTCAGAAGTTTGCAACGCAGTGAAGGAGACATCTCCGACCCTATAAAGTATATATATTCTTGATCAGCATGACTAGGCGAGTCGATCTAGCCATGTCCGTCTGTCCGTCTGTCCGTCTGTCCGTCCGTTTATATGCAAACTAGTCTCTCAGTTTTAAAGCTATCTGCATGAAACTTTCCCAAAAGTTGTCTTTCTATTGCAGGTAGTATATAAGTCGGAACGAGCCGGATCGGACGACTATAGCATATAGCTCCCATAGGAACAATCGGAAAAATAAATGAAAAAAAATTATAACTTTGCTGTTTTTTAATTTTTTGTTTAGTTCTTCGACATATAGCAATGGTTAAATAATTCAGAATTATGGTTTAAATTTCATCAAAATCGGACGACTATAGCATATAGCTCCCATAGGAACAATCGGAAAAATAAATGAAAAAAATTATAACTTTTCTGTTTTTTAATTTTTTGTTTAGTTCTTCGACATTTAGTAATGGTTAAATATTTTCGATTTACGGTTTAAATTTCATCAAAGTCGGACGACTATATCATATAGCTCCCATAGGAACAATCGGAGAAATAAATGAAAAAAAATTATAACTTTTCTGTTTTTTAATTTTTTGTTTAGTTCTTCGACATTTAGTAATGGTTAAATATTTCCAATTTACGGTTTAAGTTTCATCAAAGTCGGACGACTATATCATATAGCTCCCATAGGAACAATAAAAATATATAAAATAACTATCAAATAATTGAGCTGCAAATCATCATAGCTTCAATGTTTTTAAACATATACGCAGTAAATCATAATTTTAATGTTTTCAAAAATGTTTAATTATTGCAATAGCTGCAAGGGTATATGAACTTCGGCTTGCCGAAGTTTACTTTCTTTCTTGTTTTCAATAATCCCGGAAAAGTCGTTCCGTTTGTAGCTCTAAAAAATCCGTTAACCGTTAGCATGCCTCAGCCGGAGGGTAAAAAACATGTAATAAGAGTTGCGGAGCAACTAAAGTTCCGGGTTATTGTATTATGACCCAATAATGACCGCAGATGCATTTCATTTCGGCAGGAGGGTTGCAGTCCCTCCCCCAGGCCTCGTTAAATGCTTTATGGCTGCCTCTTTATGGCCACAACTGCTGATGCTGCCTGGGTTTCTACGGCTACTGACTTCCAGCCTCGCTCCAATTGAAATAGGAAAGCAATTAGAGATGAATGTTCTTCCGGGCAAAGGGAGGCTCAAGTCCATTGGCAGGCAGAATCGGTAAAATCGTTAGGATAGCACAGCAGCAGGTGCGGTCACTTTGCTAATTGCCAACTAATTTACTGAAGTGAATCCCACACATTAGAATTCCATATCCATCCCCCCGCCCAAGGTACCATTGGCATAATGGGCCAATATTGCAAGCAATCAGAGCTGACAAACTAGCTTTTTTAGATCAAATCATATAAATTCTTTGCTAAAAAGTTTACTTTGAACTTGGTCAAAAATGTTACAAAATTTCGGATAAACTTCCGAAAACCCCCAACGCCCGATCATATTTTAGTCAGCAGCATAAGTTTTTTTGGGTGGGAATAAAAAAGAGCACCGCTTACGATTTTTGTAAAACAAAATATTAGTTTTTGTTATTATTTTCTGTTTGGTTTTTTTTTTAAATGACTATTTTGGTCAATATCTCATTAAATATTAACGTTATAATTTTTTTTCATTTATTTTTCCGATTGTTCCTATGGGAGCTATATGCTATAGTCGTCCGATCCGGCTCGTTCCGACTTATATACTACCTGCAATAGAAAGACAACTTTTGGGAAAGTTTCATGCAGATAGCTTTAAAACTGAGAGACTAGTTTGCGTCGAAACGGACGGACAGACGGACAGACGGACGGACAGACGGACGGACAGACGGACAGACGGACATGGCTAGATCTACTCGCCTAGTGATGCTGATTAAGAATATATATACTTTATAGGGTCGGAGATGTCTCCTTCACTGCGTTGCAAACTTCTGACTGAAATTATAATACCCTCTGCAAGGGTATAAAAATTTTTAAAACCAAAAACTGTTCTTACACTTGTTTTTCAAGAAATCTCGTTGCAGACTTTGACCTATTTATTCATAATCAAGACAATTGGAAAATGGTCGTGCGTTGGGGCTTTTCAAAAGTACAGCCAATAATTTTATCACTGCATAGCTACACATATATAATGCAAATTTTAGCCAATTTCTGTAATGTGTAGTTGGGCAACACTGCCAGCAGACCACGCAATACAACATCCCACTTCACGACGTCTCGTAATCAGCCGCATTTATGTTTGGCCATAAAATATGCAAATATCCTTTAAGTACTTTTAATGTCTTGCCATTTGTTGGCCCGCAGGCTGTTGGCCCATGGCCAAGTCCTCCTCCGCAGACTCCGCCTCCCTTTTGTTAATGGCATGTTTGGCATTGTCGCAGAGTCGTCTTGTCTATTCTATATGCACGTTCCCCTGTAGCTTGCATTTTCATTTTGTGCACTTTGCCATTTCTTCAGTTAAAGTCTTCTTCCTTACTTTATGGCCCTCATAAATAACACCCTGTCGTTGTATCGGTGTCTTTATGCATACGTATTTCCCTGTGTGAGAACTTGAAGAGCTGATCTGCGGACACAGGAATATTTCAACTTCGAACCAAGGGGGGAGAAATTTGTTGCCAACATTTCATTTAGCTAATGTCCACTGGGTAGCAAAAATGTGTGCGCATTTATCTGGTATCTTTGTGACAGCTTAGTTTACTCTCTAAGATTATTTCCTTAAGTTACTAATGGAACAATCTACGAAATAAGCATATCTATTTCGTGAAATATCGGAATACCAATGTTGTCATTTATGAAATCATACAAACAACAAAGAAAATAAACCAGAATGGAAGCAAACTTCGGCAAGTTGATGTTTATATACCCTTGCAGATATTGCAAAATGTTATAATAATTTTGACACACCACTCAATTTCTTGTAATTTAATTTAATTTTTTTTGTTTTTATTCGAATTTAAGGATACAGAATTCATTTGTAAGGACCCCTTGAAAGTTTTATAACAAATTTGACCGGCCACTCTAAAAAGTGAAATATTTTTTCCTGGGAAAACTTTTTAATGAGGGCTTAAATATGTTTAGGGTCATTATCCTGCCTGAATTTGTAATTTAGATCCTTGTCTTACTCAAAGCTGTCTTTTCCAAAGCTAAATAAAAACTTTCTATCACGATATTGCCAGTAACATTTGAAAAGGAGTTCTTGTGTGATTCCCATGGAGAATAGTAGTCTTTGGGCGCCTAGTTTACGTTTTACCACCATATTCAAACAAATAATTTTCAGTTTTGTTAGATCGCAACACGTTATCCCTGTTTTGGCTTGCTTGGCATTAAACAGTAGCTTTTCCGTATTTATATAAGCTATAAATATAACTTTCATTGCCGAGGGTTTCTTCAAACCTTCTCAAATAGCCTTTTTTTTATTAAGCAACAGGAAACTAATGTCATCGATGATTTAAGAGATTTAAATAAATCTGTTTCGATTGAAGTAGTTAAAAGGTCTTCGCCGTCTTGGTAAAAAGATAACCAAAAACTAATTTCTTCCTTAGCAGTGCATTCATTTAAAAATATAGTATATTGTTTAACCTTTTGTTTTCCTTTTCTTTATGATATTTATTTTAATATGTAGCTCTGTACTGCAGTGTAGTGTACTGCACTTTGCGACCCATTTTTAGAATAAAAGTTGTATTCGAAAACGAATTTTCACCAAATTTTAAATTATGCTTAACTTACCCTAAAGTACTTTAATTATACCTATATTTTCGAAATAAACTGATTCTAAGCTGCAATTTCGGTGTAAATCGGTCGCGTTTCTATTTTATCTTTCAGCCCAAACATGTGGCTAGCCATAAATTTGCTACACACTGCAAGTAATCAAGGCTATTAATAAAAGAAACAGAAAAGTATGGATATCAATGATCTACGTGTTGTTAGTTTGAAGTCAAGAACTTGTCTACATATTTAGGAATTGGCTTTTAGGTGCAGATGAATGAATTTGTCGTTTTTATTATTTTTTCCACCACTGGAAATTCAGGCAGTATTGTGCTCTTGTACGGAACACATTTTCTGCTCCACAAAATTAAAAAAATTCTACAGTCTGTTTGGGTACCTTTTATTAACAAAATTTTGTTGTAAAAAAGCTAATTTTTGTTTTATTTCTTTTATCTATAATAATGGTTTAAAAACATAGAATACCATTTTTAATTTTATTCAAATCGGAAAACAGTATCAAATAGCTGCCTTAGAAAAGATCGATTAATTGAGTTGAAAATATTCAAAAGCTTCAATGTTTTTAAGCACATACGCATATAATTTGAAATTGAAATGTATTAAAAAATATTTAATTTCTGCAATAGCTGCAAGGGTATATAAGCTTCCGCTTGCCGAAGTTTGCTTCCTGTCTGGTTTTTTCATTAGTTTTAATTTCTCTTGCGCGGGATTGTGCACTCTTGCATATTTTGTGAGCTGCTTTTCCCCAGACATAACTATATATCCTTGCTTTTGTGAATGGGGTCTTACATTGATTAATGTTCGCTCATTTTTTGTGGTTTTTTGCAGGACAAAGAACTGGGAGGAGAGCAGCTTACCCACTGGAAAAGTGAAGGCTGAAAAAAGGACCATTCGCACACTGTGGCCAGCGGAGGAGGAGGAAATCGAACCGAATGCAGTATCTCAACTACGCTCTGCAGACATCCACGCGACTGCTGACGTACCAGGGCCCGAACCAGGATCTCTATCCTGACCAGACCGGACTAGCATCCGCCCACGAGGAGGACATCAAGCACGCCTGCTGCAGTCGCGGCGCCCAGCTGCTCAGATTGCGCCACCGGGAGCTGGCCAAGCGACGTGCTCTCGAGGATCAGATCAACGCCAACCAGGAGGAGGAGGAGGAGGAGGCAGAGGACCAGGAGCAGCAGCAGCAGCAGCAGCAGCAGCAGCAGCAGCAGGAGGATCTGCAGGAAGAGTTGGACAGCGAGCAGGGAGCCGTCGGCGGGGAGCAACTGCATCCGCAGCCAGTCCAATGAAACTTACTCTCATTTAATGTGCAACTGGCGCGCAGCAAGCTGCTCTCGTTCTTCAACCGCGACATGGCCGCCACCGACGGCCAGATCATATTGGCCGCCTCCCGCTTTGGCGATGCCACGCCCGTCTACCTGCGCGACTTCTCCAAGCAGCCGCTGCCGGCGGTGGCCAAGATCCTCAAGGGCCAACACCAGGCCCTGGGTGTGCCCACCCTGTCGGCCCCCTCGCTGCAGAGCACCGCCCTCTTCCTGAGCGCCGGCAAGAAGTACCAGATCCTGGCCCAGCCCATCAAGATCAAGGAGGGTCGCAAGCCCACCAACGTGGGCGCCAAGGTGCTCATCCCGGAGACCTACGGCGGCTACTTCGAGCTCCTCAGCGAGGATGGCCGCTCCACGCGCTGCATCGACTCCGTGCTGGAGCTGTCGCGGCGACGCAATGCCCGGGTCCTGGTGCGCGAGACCTTCCGCTGCCAGCAGATGAACCGCACCATCCACGCCGGCGAGCTGCTGACCACCATGAACGACAACGGGAAGTACCTGCAGTGCCGCAACATCAAGGACGAGATCATCAATCTGCCACTCGATACCAAAGCCAAGTTCTCGCCGATCGCCAGGGAGGACAGCATCAGCGGTGTGCACACCGTCAAGAATCTGCTGCTCAAGCGGATGCCAGTCATTGTGAGGTGAGTGTTGAGATCAATTTATGTAAAGCTCATTCAAGTTTTAAGTCATTAGTTTTGGTTTAGGAGGAAACTTACTTAAATCATCTTTAAGGACCACTTAGTTCCTTAAATTTAAATGAAACCATTCTAAGCTATATATTGCCTTTTCTACAATAGAATAAGTACACAATTTTTAGATTATAAAGCATATTTTATCACCCCGGAACACGAATTCGGAAGGCTAAAAAAATATTAATTTAAAACATACAATGTTGGGATGGGAACTAGTATGTTTTGTTTTCAATGTTTCTGTAAAAGTATAACTCAGATTTTACTTAGTAGTTTAGTAGTTTAGTAGAATATTTAGTTTGTATATATATTCCAGGGCTTATATAACCTGAAATAGAAGGGTTATCCTTAAATATTGATACGGATTTAATGATATACTTAACCTGGAATAGTAATTTTAGGAATTGATTTAGTCCAATGATTATGAGGAATTGCTGTATTTAATGCTACTTTTACTTGATTTTTTAAATTTCATTTTATTTTACCATTTATTATTCTTTCTATAACAATAATTTATTTATTAGTCTTACATCAAACAGGGTCTTATAACCAAATTTGACTAAATTGAAATATTGAGAAGATTATTTTACATTTAACCACATTTATATTTTAATGATATGTCAATTATATATGAACTATATATTAACCACCATCTTTGATCTCCAATCCGCAGACTCGTCCACGGCAGTGCGCCCAAGGGCCTGAAGCAGCCCTTTGTGCCCGAGCTGCGACTTCTCGGCTGCGTGGAGATCGACAGGATCTTCGCCCTGCCGCTGCAGAAGGACACGGATTTGGTGCCGGTGCCGCTGAACGCCAAGATCAAGCTGCAGCGGGCCAAGAACATGGAGCAGCTGGAGCACTTCATCGAGTACTCGCGATTCCTGGACAAGGCGCAGCGTCTGCTGGCCGATGCACGCGATCGCCTGCAGATCGTCGATCTCAAGCTGAGCGAGAAGGAGAAGAAGGACTCCAAGTTCAACAGCCGCAACGGGGGCAGGCTGCCGGTGGTGATGCTGCCGTCGGCGGCTGGGATGGCCAGCGGACTGGCGGAAAGCGGGTATGTGTTGCGCAAGAGTGCCAGCTGTGACTCGTGGTCCAAGCAGCAGCAGATGGCCCTCAGCAGCAGCGAGATCGCCGAGGAGTACAACGAGATCGATCATATATACGACTATGTGAGGGGCCTGACGCCGCTGTCGAAGGGCTTGGCCCGCTTCGAGCCCATCTGCGAGTCGCCCACGCTGCGGTCGCACCACACGGACAGCGGCAGCGGCAACTACTGCAGTCTCATTCGGGCTCCCGCTCACCAGCAGGCCTCCACCTCCGGCAACAACAACTACAGCAGCCTGGAGTCCAACAAGCACAGTAGCAGTGGTGGGGGCGGGGGCGGGGGCGGGATCGGGGGTCACCATCCCAGTCACCATCATCATCATCAACACCACCTGGTGAACCACTATCACCACGGCCATATTCAGGAGGACATCAAGCCGGTGCCGCCGCCCATCGAAACGATTCCGGGCAAGAAGCCGGCGGAGAAGCGCCAGCGTCCCACTCTACCAAAGCTTTACATCAAGAACGCCCACAGTGCTGGGAGCAGCAGCAACGGCAACTCCACGGGCACCACCCACAGCACCAGTCACAGTCACAGTCACAGCCACAGCCATAGTCACAGCCACGCCCACAGTAACAGTCACGGTCATGCGCAGGCGCAGCAGCAGCAGCCGCCGACTCCCAATGGGAACACGGCCAATGCGGTGGCCAATGCGGCGGCTGCAGCGGTGGCCGCTGCCCATCACGGTTCCCACGGTTCGCACGGTTCGCACGGCTCACATCCGCATCCGCACACGCATCCGCATTCCCATCCGCACGCCAGTGTGCACGCACATCCGCATCCCCATCACGGCAAGGTGCTGACGCCCAACAACCATCTGCCGAGCAAGGAGGCCCTGGAGCCACAGTCGCCGCTATTTCACATCAGGTGAGCCGATCAATTTAGCTTAGGAATACCCAAAATAAGTTTTGAAATGTTCAGTAGATATACTCTTATACAGATAAATCTAATCGGTCAGATATATTATTTATATTTAATTGAAAATCAACATGTATAAAAAGAGGTCACAAAAAATAATGAATGAATGCTAAATTTCTTCAGAACATGGACAGAAACTTTATTAAGGGATCGACATGCCAAATAAAGAACTGTAAATGAAATCAGTATTAAAAATGCTACCCTAAATTAATTAAACAAATAATCAACTTAAATTTAAACACAGAGAAAGCTATTTTTTTAATGTTCATCGGAAGGTGACAATGAATTATTAGAAAATTGTTTAATACTTAAATGCCGATAAATGCATAATAAAATGGGTAACAGACTAGTTTTTCAAATAACTAAATAAAAAAAACTGAAAATTTTGAACTCATTAAAATAAGAGAAAAAGCAAAAAACATAATCGACTCAAATAATTATTTATTTATTAAATTTTAACGCATCTTACTTAATAATTAAAAGTGTGTTTTAAAGTTATATTTTGGCTGTGTGTGCAATGACAACTTAATTTTTAAAATGTAACCTTAAATCAGCAGTAAAATGTTATTAATTATTGAAGTACAGGCTCAGACATATATATAACTCCCTTGGCTTTTGATCACCCTTAGGTACAAGAGTCTCAGCAGCCTGCAGCTGACGCCGGACAACAACAACTGCTCCTCCGTGACGCCGCCGACGATCTCAGCCCACGGCAAGTCATCAGTAGCTGGAGGTGGACCGGGTGGACCAGGAGCAACTGCGTCGGGAGCTCCGGCCACGCCGGGCACTCCGCCGGATGTGGTGCTCAAGTGCGGCAGCATCCTCAACGTGCACGGCTACCTGTCCAGCCCGCATCCCCTGCCATTGCCACTGCCCCACAGCCGGAGCTCCAGCAGCAACAACCACCACAATCCGCGAGAGGGTACGCTGGACTCGTCCCGCAGCGGAGGCCGGACTTCGGGCGACTCGAACAAGCTGCCCGAGAAGAAGACACGCCGCCTGTCCCGGCCCAGAAGTCTGTCCAATCTGGTCTGGGATCTGCGTCCGTCCAAGGAGAAGTCAAAGAAAAAGCTCTACATCCATCACTTCGATCAGCGGCAGCAGGCGACGCTGTATCTGTAGGATTGTGGCATGGATGTATCTCCAGGATGACGACGAGGAAGTAGCAGCACGATGATGATGATTATGATGATGATGATGATGATGATAATGATGATGATGATGATGATTCGTTGCCAACTCGTTTCTAGCTGCCATCGACCCCCACAAAACAGAAACAGAAACAGAAACAGAAAAGTAAAATAAAACACAATAAAAGAAGAGCAACTACAACTTTTGGCACGCTGTGTGTGTTCCTGCAGGTGAGTTGAATAGCCATGCAAATCGTGCTGCGTTTTGATTGTTTTTTTTTTTTTTCTGTTTTTTTTCTGTTTTTTGCGCTTATTAAATTCGTGCAACAAACTAAACAAACATTTCAAACGTCCAACTAATGGTTCTTCCCCCTCCACGTTGCAGCTTTCACCATTTAGCCTGCAGCAGCAATTTTAATTAACATTGAATTGTGCCTTTCCCTGCTACGCCCAGAATTATGCTTTAAAACCAGATTCCAATGAAGTATTTGACGAGAATATTTCGACCGGATGGAACCCCCGAAAACGAAAGGCTGCCAGCACACACAGAAACACACTACAATCCCCCACATACGCAATGCAACACACACGTACACCACACATCAAGTCTATAAAATTGTGATTTTAATTTTATGTTTAATTTAATAATTATTGCGAAACATTTTCAAATTAAACGAAAGCCATTTACGCTATTCAGAAAAAATTCACAAAACAAACTCTAAAATCGACAAAAATTAGTTGTCTACAAACGAGATACTTATATATATTTAAAGCGTACTGTTTTTAACAGGATAGCGAAAAGGCAAATGTAACTAATAGTAAGTCAATATTATCAAGCAACCATATATCAATCATTTAGAGAATGTTATGCAACACTTACAGCTAGCTAAAATGAATTTATAAATTAATGCAATGAATTTCCTCCTCATAATTTAAATGTTGTGCAAACTGTTGATTGAATGCAATTAAACCATAATCGAACAACTCTTGTTTAGTAATTAGTTTGCTCGGAGCCAGATACTTCCCACAACGCCCCTCGAAACCCCTAAATACCCACTTCCCCATAATCTGCTCGCAATCGCAATTGCAATCGCATTGTCTTAGTCGTTTAGTCTGTACATTTTAGTTGTATTATCCAGCTTATATGGCCTATAAATAGGGAGTATATATACACACATATATGTAAAACTATAATATAACTTGTATTTGTGTCTAAATAAATGTCTCAGAAAAATAAATGTATATGCAAAACAATCTCGAGCGTTGAAAGTTGTCTTGATTCCAAAGTGTGGGCGGCTAAACTATCCAATGAAAGCTTAACGGCCTGGAAATCGACTCAATAATAACCTGATCTGACCATAAGCGATTGTCCGTAAGCAGGTGAAAAATTAGGGGGCTTCAAACGGAGGAGATAAAATTTCAATAACTTACTTATTGTGGGTTATAATGTTTCAGCGGCTTATAAAGGTAAGAAGAAGTATAGTATAATTACTTATTTTTAACTGTTTAAGGCATTCAAAGGCAGCTTTATAATTTTTAGAGAGCTTGGCATAAACTCTTATCACATAAATAAGAAATCAGCCAAAAAATATATTTTATACTTTTATTAGCATTGTTTAATTTACTATGTGTTAATAGAGATGGATGCGTTCTTGAGTTTTGACTCATTTATGCACTTCTGCTGCATTTAAAATATATAAAGCGTAATAGTCAACTATACTTTTCCAATATAAATATGGCCACTGCGTAACAATTTACTGTAATAAACCTACATGTTAGAAACCCGAGAAGACTGTGACTGAAATTTAAAATATTTCATATAAGTAAAACAATTTTCTATACACCACGAGAAGCTCACTAGAAATTATACATTCCCGACACGGAGCCACCATAATATTCGAAGTGATCTCACATGTCTAAATACACTGCTAACTAAACCGTAAAAGGTGCCAATAACAGCAAAAGCAACAATCCAGCTCTGACCAAAATCAATGAAAATTGCGCAGTTTTTCAAAAACAAAAGGAAAACGCAGAGCGTAAAAAAAATCAGTTTAAATAAATGAACGCATGCCAAATGCTTCCTGGCCGCAGACAATGAGCCGAAACACCTGCCCCATAGACACCTGTCCGCGTTTGGGCAAAGAATCGAATTAAATCTCAATTGCTGGGGGTTTTGGGTGATCAGGGGTGATCAGGAGTGAGGGAGCAATGCGGAACCGAGTGTTTATGAAGACGAAATTGCGTTAATGCTGGTAATTAGTTGCAATATCGAAAGGCTGCCACGCGAGTTCGTTGCTTTAGTCTTTCGTAATGCCGCATAAAAGCGCTATGCAAATACATTGTACGTACACGGAGAAAATTATTTAATATTCAATATTAAAAACAAAACGAATTCAGATCAAATCTTAGATGATTGGAAACCTTATAATCGTTGTAATGTTATAATTTGAGAATTCAATTTCTCTTATGGTATTAAAATATCTTTTTCAATTATAAATCCTATTTATTGTATCATAAAAAAAGATTTTATTTTAGTTTTATTCGGAATATCTATCATTATGTTTGTAACAAAGAGCCATTAAAAATTAAAATGGTTTTTCACTGTGCAAAAACTAGAGCTGCAGCTGGGCCAGGAACTGGAGCTTTGGTGCTGGAGCTGGGGGCAACGAATTGAATAACATGAAAAATGCGCTTGCATTGCGATATCATCACGTTTATGACGTTGGCACAATTAATCAGCTGCATGCAAGCGCTAAAAGGCAGAGGAGACTCAGGGGACTCGGTAGAATGGTGGATTGGGAAGAGCCTGCAGATCAGGGAGAACCATAAACGTTTCTCTGCTCATCAAATGTGCAATTTATAACCACCACAGACGCCCACGCCGAAGATCTTTAAAGCTGCGAGTGCGGCTTGGGCTCAAGTTCTGGCTCGATTTAACCCTGCATACCCTTTCGGATATATCCGAAGAACATTTGTATTTTAAGCCTTGACAGGCTTTCGAACATCTTTGTGTTTCATTAGATTTCTAAACAAAGCAATAAAAAGTGAACTTCTAATAAAGTTCGACTTTCTTGTTTGGATAAATATTTTCTTTTTTCGAACAATTTTAATTACTTATTTCTGAAAATAAGGAATGTAAGGTAAGTTTTTTTAAAGTAAGTCTACATTTTATTAAGCTTAAAACGCAATTATTTTCATTTTAAATATATTATATATAGTCGCTAGCATAGCAGGGTAGCAAAACAGGGACATGAGCCTGCAGTAGGTTAAAGTTAAGGTGCGGGTTGGGAACCAAGAACCGAGATTGAGACTAAGTCCGGGGGACCTGCATGTTGCCTGGCCATTTGCTACAGTTATGGCACCAGGAAGACTGGACCTGCAGCTGCTCCATCCCCCCCAGCCGCACCACTCCCCTCCCTCATGCCACCCCCTCAGAAGAACTGGCGATTTGTATCAGGATGTCTGTTTAAACTGTGTGTAAATCGCCCTAAACTACGCATCAGTTTCGGTTTCAATCTCGGTCGGTTCCATCGGTTTCCCGCGGTTCTTATGCTTTTGCACTGGGAAAAAAAATATTTCGCAAATAAATAAAACATTTTACTAATTGTAGTATTTAATACTAAATTAGTTATTTACTTATTTTTTAAGATTTACTCTTTTTGCAGGCAGATTTATGCATCTAAACGTGTTTGTTCAACCAAAATCAGTATTTTAATGGTTTAAGATTTATAATTCAACAAACTAAATTGCATTTTTTTAAATATTTTTAAACAGAACATTGGCATTGTGGAGCATTATACATTTTTTTTTTTAAATTATGATTAAAATTGAACGCATTTTATAAGCTTTAACATTTTGAAATTCATTTATTTCAAAAATTAAACAAAAATTAAATAGAAATCAATGTAAATCTGGACTTTCTAAGCTCAAAAGAACTCAATACGGTGGAATAAAAATGTATATTTATTATGTTACAAAATTAGTTGATTAACCTTATACCAAAGTTCACCTTGTCAGTGGTGAAACACAATTTAACTCAGTAGCCCAGTATTTTTTGTCCGTGTTACATTTATATGCAGTATTTACTTGAGGAAGTAGCTGCGTTTAGCGCTGCAGCTTTATCGCGATGGAAGCGATACGTGGCGATATAGCGGTAACAAATTGGCTTTTGCTTTGGAAATTCTGGCCCAGTTCGAAAACGCTTCCGCGACACAGGCACACAATTAAAAGTTCTCGCAGCTCAATTACCCGGCTATCGATCAGGAAAAACGGGGAGCAGGAGGTAAAGAAAAGAGGAGGAGGAGCTGAAAAATGCAAACTTCCCTTGCACTCACATAGCCAACTCGTAGATTTATAAAGACCTAGGGTCTTTGATCCATGTGATCTGCAATTACGCTCCGCTCGTCGGCTTGTTTATTTTGTTTTCTTTTTTATCCAGCTCGTCTGCAGCAATTGCGCAACTGCTGCAACAAATGCTGCAACTGCAACTGCAACAACTGCTGCAACTGGCTCGATAATCATTCAAATTTACAAGAAAACAATCAAAAAACAAATTCCTAGAACACAAATCGACGAAACTCATTTCATTTCAATTAAAGTTGCACGCCGCGCGCCACAGAACGAAGTTGAATCGGAAAACAAGGAGGAGGGCATGGGTATGGAACAGCTTGAGAAAAGTCCATAAAGGAAACAAGAAATGGATCTGGAAGTTCGGTGATGGGAACGATTTTAAAATTACCTGTAAAAAACCATTCTTATCGGTATGTATTTCTTGCGAAGCGTTTAGAAATTTTCATTTAGTTTGCATAAAAAAACATGCAACAGTATTTTTTGTGGTTCGTTCGACAAGGAGATAGCTTTAACCAAAAAAAATATATACTAAAAAGAAAAAAATATATAAAATAAAAATCATGCCAATATTTTGTTTTAAAAATAAAATAAGCTATTTTAGGCGGAACGGCGTATGGTCTTAATTATTTTTGAGTCAATTTAGTAAAAATGGCATTTTATCTTTTATTTTATCCTTTGTGTATTATTTTTATTGAACCAAAATTTTATAATTAGTGGTATTTATTTTATGTTCATACCAAAATTGATAAGCTAGAATAAAAAACTGCATACGACAGTGCAATGTTTAACCATTAAAACTAAAGAATTCGCGGAATGGTATTTGGTTTTTTGAGGTTAGTTTTTATGGTATATTACTCGATCTACATTTTACTGGGTATTGAAGTATGGGAGAATCTGGCGGGAGTAGCTGCAGAAGAATCAGCAGCAGAAGAATCATCAAAAGCAGCAGCAGCGCAAAGGCAGCGACGTAGAAAATCGCAAAGAAAACAAATTTAAATAAGACAAACGTCAACCAATTACCGTCAATCGCATTTCCCGCAAGAACAACAACTGGGGGCAGAGGGAGTCGCGCAAAGCTGCAAAATTGCCAAGCGGCCAATTGGGGGCGGTGGAAAAGGGACGGAGCGAGGGGTGGCGGAAGCAGAGGAACAAGGCGCGCGCATGTGCAGTTACAATTGCGAACGTCGACGTCGACTGCGACTGCGACTGCGTCACACGAAGAAAGGTCAAGAAACTGTGAGAGACCATTTGAATAGTTCTTACAGGTGTGGGAAAGGGAGGGGGGAGAGAGAGAGTAAGCAGGAGTAAAAGGTATACACTAAGGGAAAAGCACGATCTAATTCGACATATAACACATCTCGGTCGACTTTTTCGGAGATCAGTTCATAAGTTAGATTTATACAAAATAAAATTTGTGCGCTCTTGGTTTATTTATTTAGTTAAAGTCTAAGCAAATATTTTTTGACTTGCCATTTTAGTTCAAAAAAATTACTTTATTACAATTTATTTCTAATATTTTTAAATTTTATTGGTATAAATTTAAATTGATAATAATTATTGTAGTTACCAAGTGTTTTTGTAATCAAAACAATGGAATTTTATTCACTTTCTATGTATTTTAAGTATTTTCAGACAGCTTGCTTTCCTGTATGTATTTTTATTTTTTGCTGTGTGATAGAAGTACTCTGCCTGGAAATCAAATCAAATCCAAATCAAACAAACACAAAAATGGTGGAGCGAGGCAGAGGGACTATGAAAGACAAGCCATCGAACAAATTTCCATGCTCCGCTGTGAAATTCCACGATGGAATGGAACGACAACAACGACAGCATTGACGACTCAAAGAAGTTTCCGTGCCAGCTTGGCTTTTCTTTACTTTTCTTATTTATTTTTTTTTCCTCTTCGATGGGTGAGCGCAATTATCCGTCGCGTGGTGCGTACAGTGGACCCTTGTTACACAAACAGGAACATTTTTAGTTTAAATAAGTGCACTGTTCGTGCATGGTAAGAAAAGTAGATATCTATTCCACTATCAAAACCAAATTAAATATGTTGGACCAGTTTGCTATAATTTCCACTATCCGTTGTTATTAGAAGTTTAAAATAAATAATAGTTTAATATTCAAAAATGTATATTCCTTTTTAATTGTATAATACATTTTTTTGTTATTTAGTGTTATTATATAAAAATATAAATATTGCTTAAATTGTAATAAATAGTTTAGTATAAAACTTTTATAAAAAAAATAGGAATATATATGTAGCTTGCCAACATACATTATTATAATTATAATTTTATAAGTTAACTAGAGGGTTACAAAATTCTCGTTTGGTGGAAATATTGTCATTTACGAACAATACTGAAACAATTACTGGAAATATTGTCAATATACTTCTATAGAAGTATAATATTACTATTTAAATACAAGATAAAATAATTTAAGCTTATTTACTTTTGAAAAGCAAAACGTACCAGCAATTTAAGTGAAGTTAATGCTCGCAAAAAATCAGCTATTGAGGAAGAAAAAAACTTTCCTCGCACCTAAATTGCCCAAGACAAGCTGCACGTACTGACAGCTTCGGCTGACATTGCACTCAGGCCGCTTTCCTCCTTTGCTGCTCTTTTGGGCCCAGATCAAGTTGGCTTTGGCAGTGCATCCATCATCAGCTGCCGTCGATGATTCTCATGCGAAAAGGTCAGCTTCAGACGACTTTGGACTGCGACTTCGTCTGGGAGTCAGTTCGGATGCAGTATTCCGACTCTGGTCTTAGAATTTCAATCATCGGGACCAGTGAAATGTGGCAGCAACATTGGAGCCACGTCGTCGATGTTGCTCCTGTGCGTCTGCAACATTGTCTCTCCGATCTTCTCCAATCGACTCGCGATCCTCTCGTTTTGCCCACTTTGTTCTCGAGTCGCTGAAATTGCAACCGATCACGTTCATTGCATGCATACAAAGCAGCAACATCTGCAGCAACAGCAGCAGCCGCGCAATGGCAACAGCAACAGCAACAGCAACATCCCAGCAGCAATTGGCCAGCTCTGTCGATTTCTCATTCGATCCATTTGAAATTGTTTGATGCCAGTTTGATATGGTGGCCATGTTCGCCGCTGCTGCCTCGTTACCTTCGAAAGTACTTCAATCATATTCAGCAATTGTAGCAATTGTTGCACCCTAACGATGTCAGCCCAGGAATCCATTACTGGCCCCTTATGGGTGCCCTTAATGGGTTTTGGGTCAACCAGATCTAGGTGACCAAAAGGTGTGCGAGAACAATAAAAGGCAATTACTTATGAAAACCAATAGATAATTTGAAATCATTTGTTCCGAGTCATACATTGAATATCTAAGAAAATCATGCACAAAAATTAACTAAAAGATTATCATCTCAGTTTATTGTTGCTACAAATTTTCGGTAGTTTTAATTAAAAATTCGCGTGTTAAATCGTCCAAATCAAAATACTAACAAACTAACTATACTAACTAAAAAAAATGTTAATTTTATGATTTCCGTAGAAGAAATGATTTAGGAATGAAAAATTAAAATCGAGATGGTTACAAAAAAAAAATATTGTACTAAAAGTTTAACAAATCATTTCCTGCTTAAGCTAGCAATAGGTTACACAACTAATTAAACATGGACTTCCCGACACATTATTTACTTGTAGTTCATGTGTTTTCGTGCATGTTTTAAATATCTTGTCGAGATTTCATTTTGCCAGGTATAGACCGTTCTTAAATATTTTTGGCCTATTAATTTAGATGCCTAATAATGAAGTTGAAAATGCAAGTGCAACTTGGTTCTTAAGATTTTTCGCTTGCTTGATTTGTTAATGCCATTGTCGGAAATTAAGAATTTAAACAACTTTTTCAAATATCTAGAAACAATATAATAAGCCTTTAAAGACTGAAATCGGGAAAACAAATAGGTGTTCAACTCGCATCAAACTTCTGCTTTATTCTGAATATTTATATTAATTAAATAATTAAAAAAGTTTACTCAGTATATTTTTGATTTAATTAAACTTGTTAATCCTTAACTTGACTGCAATAAAACTAAAATATTCATGTTTTCTTCCACAGAAACCTTAAGTGCTTTTAAAATATTTTTGCTACAGGGTTTCGCTGTTTAAAATGCTGGTCCACAACAGCCTAGCTCCCACTCTACTTACATATTTGGCTAACCTTGGTTCTGGAAAAAAATAATAAAGCTATCCCCATAACACCATGAATCAGCATGTGATGGCTTCAACAGAAACGGAAACATAAACATGCATTTCATTTCGGGGCATGTTCGAAACGAGAGCTAAATGCAGCCGAAGCAGCACGGCAGCAACACCATCGACTACCGGCAAGGTTGCCTTCACATACACAGCATAAAATCAATAATCCAACACACAGGCACACTCTGCACCGCAGCAGCAACAGCAACACTAGCAACAGCAACAGCAACAGCAACAGCAACATCAACAGGAACAACAGCAACACTAGCAACAGCAACGCACCACTGTCAACAGTCAAGTGGCAGTGCATTAAAATTGTAAACTTGAACAGCAAACAAAAGCCACAAACAGACGACGATCCACGCTGGGTTGGACCTGGCTCGAAAGGAGGAGCTGCAAGTCAGAGCTGGCTAGCATTGTGCGCATTTGGATGGCGGGTATTGGTATCCGGCTTATGAGCCCTCCGCCTTTTTCCAACTCCCGACTCCCGACTCTCGACTCCTGGCAATTTCAAATTGTGCGTCACGTACACGCATAATGGGCAAAAGTAATGAAAACATATGAGCAGACACGCAGGATGGAAGGTTGAGGTTGGATGGGGAGTGCTGGCCAGTAGGCACTTGCAATTGCAAATGCACAAAATAATAATTTCGCAATACGCGCAGTTCAATTACAACCAGCAGCAGCAGCAGCAACAGCAGCAGCAGCAACAACAACTGCAACTAGCTATCATTCTGGGCATTTATTTTACAATGCATTGCCGTAATATAATTGATATGCTCTAAGTAATTGGCGCTGACCACGCGAGCAACATTTCATGTTGCTGGTGCTGCTGGGTATTCTGGGAGTTGCTGCTCCGGCTGTTACTGTTGCAAGTGAGAGATCAAGCAATCGATTTGTATATCGACGGGATGGATCGATCGATCGATCGCCACACTGGCGACATGGCGGACCACCCCGCCAGGAGTGGCGCCTAATTGCAGGGACGGCAGTAGCAACATCATGCCAACAGCAGCAACTACATCATTTTTAATGCCCTAACTCGCTGTTTGGTTGTTAAATTTTTGTTTATAAATCAGAGAGGGAGCTTGGACTTTTTTTGTGGCTGCTGCTGAAAGCTTTACGCTTTGATGTCGCCAACGAAAACTGCCATTTATGGGCAATTAGGCATCGATTTGAGTCGATGTTGCTGGTGTGTTGTTGGTCCTGCGCGCGCCATTAATGCAGTGTGCAACAAATCATGGGTGCAATTAGTGCGTGTTTATGACTTTCAGCTGAGAGGGCGCCATTTCAGCGCTCAATATTTTTTCGAGCTTAGTTTGGCCAACTTTCCCGCCCCCCTTTGGGCCTTTTGCGAAACGTTTAAGCCGCCGACAATTTGCATGCTGCTGCCGCAGCAGCATCATCAGCAGCAGCAGGAGCGACACATCAGCAACATGGAGCCACCGCCACAGCAATCGATGATGGCCAGTCCATCGAGTGGCGTCAATAATGGCCTGTCGTTGGCTATAAACGCCCGCTGGCCATATTGTTTAGTCGATAGTTGTACTTGTTCGGACGTAGCACTAATTGCCGCATATCGCATATGTGTGTGCGCGTAATGGCATAGATCATGCTAATATAATTACACGCTGGACAGCAGCAACATGGCCGGGACCCCATCAAATTTCATATGAGGAGGAGATCCAGCTGGTCCATAATAATTGTTCGGAATTAAGCTTTTAAGAAAAGGATCTTTAGATTTACGATTGCCGATTGCCGATTGCCGATTGCCGACCGCCTTCAGTTTTTCTCCTTGGCCTATAAATAATTTCTATATCAAAAGCCGGCTTTGATGATGGCCTAATTTGGCTGCGGGGCATTATCGGCGACTAGTGATATATCAAGTGGCTTGAGCGCAAACGAATATTGCTGCTGACGCTTCATCGCTGCCAGCCAAGAAATGCAATTTTCGGCAGCAGCAATAGCAACCACAAGGCGAAAAATCTAAAAAGTATTAAATAAAAAAAATGGGGAATATTCGCCTATGCTTAAAATTCCAAGGCAAATTGCGGGCAAGCCGCACAATGCTGTTGCATGATGCAGGCTATTGCTGTCGCTGTTGCAGTTGCTGTTGCTGTTGCTGTTGCTGTTGCTGTTGCCGTTGCTGTGGGTACGACAAGCAACATCAACACAATTCAGCGTCATCACAAACATCAATTGACCCTTCGGTGCTTTAGGATCAAGCGTAATAATCGCCGGCATAAAAACGCTTTGCACTTTTGCGCCAGAATAATGGTTGAAAGGTTGCAAGTTGGCAGTTGCATGTTGCTAGTTGGCGGTTCCCAGCGTATGTGCCTTGACCATGCACTTGGCTGGTAACTAATAGCTTTTCTCAACATATAGACACAGTGTGATAAATAAAGTGTCACCAATAAGTAAAACAAACATTATTGTTTTAGTTGTTTTATTTTCCCACCTTTTTACGCTATATTCACCCAAAATCGACTCTTACAAGTGTCTCAAAATTTAAACAGATTTTATTTCTCAGTCTAAAGAATTTATTATGCTTTTTTCATATAATGTACAATTTTGAAAATTATTATTTTTGAAATTTATTAGATTATCATCTAAAAAATTATACTTAACTTTTTGCTCAATATGAGAAAGAGTTACCTGAATATTTAACTAATCACGAAGATTAATTAAAATGAAAGTTTGCAAGTTTTGTTTTACTAATATATATATTTATAACCTTGCAGTCTTGTTCCAGGAAAAGCCTGCAGTTTTTATTCAGGGAATCACATCCATAATCCACGCTAGCGAAAAGTTTCCCTTTCGTGTTTTTGAATCTCTTTTTAAAGCACTACGGAGCATGGATTCTCCGCCACTTTGGGTCACTTAATTTCCTGCCCTTATTCTGGAAAAAAATTTCAAATTCAGGATGGACAGAGGAGATTTGGAGTGGTTTTGCCTGGTTCGAGTTAGACATTCAAAATACATGACGGTGCGGATTCATTCATCAATATACATGGGACAGCACGGCGATGAGATTTAGAACTCCCGAATGGGTTTGCTGTATCCTTGAAAAGGGTACGATTGAGTTTGTAAATCTACTTTGCGTTAAAGGAAGGCACAATCCTAAAAATTTCTTACATGGGAAACGCGGTAAATAAATTAAAATAAGATATCTAACTAATTCATCTAAACGGATTAAAGTTCATTAGGTTTAAAACCGTTCGTAAGTAATATACAATTCCGATTTCCAATTCTTCTGTTAAAATATATAAACCAAAAGTAATTTCACACTTTTGATTCTACTGCATGTACATTAATCATTATATTGATGGGCATATTATTATATAACATTTAATCGCTTTATTTGCTTCCAACTAATTATGAAATTATTTATAAAACAAATTTACTTTTTACCTAGATTGAAGGGTATTTTATATGCGACTCTCAGCATACCATATTCTTTTCGGGCTTTATTTTGCGCTGCTTTTTTTTTTGCTGAATTTTTATAGCACCCGCCCATGGGGTCAATTCTGCACGCTGGCTGTCATGTGTGCCCTGGCCAAAGCCCAATCCCAATCCCAAGCCCAAGCCCAAACCCAAACCCAAACCCAAACCCAGACCCTGAACCCATGCCCAATTCCAAATCCATGGACTCATATACCCGTGGATGGCAACGCGAAACGAGTGCAACACGAACTGTTTAATGGACTGGGCATGCACTATGTGCAACGACCCACCAGGTTCGGCTCAGTTTCTCAAACTTGGACCCAGAGCCAGTCCCAGGTGGAGCCTCCATTTCATGGCCATGTGAGAAGAAGACATCTGGGTCCCAGACACTCATACTCATTTCCCGCCGAAGTGTGTGTGTAGGTTAATCAGTTTAGCCAGCGGGCTTTTCATCAAAGAGCGAGCGGCACCCACACAGGCGACAGCCTATTGGTAAGGGAAACACTCAAAAAACGCAATGATCAGCAAATGATCATCCCAAATGTTAAATATATATTGGGTTCACCTGACTAAAAAATAAATATAGAGTATATTTATCGAAAACATAAACATAAATGTAATATTTTTTATTTGCGACGTTGACAGCTTGTGGGTTCTTCTCATAAAAACAAAACCATATATACTTTTGTCTGACACTTTGTTTAGGGAATGCAAATTTATCTTAAGGTAAGAAATATTTCTGAACTGGCTAATTTATTATCAAAAGATAATATTTGCAGATAATATTTCCTTTAAGAAAACACCTTGTTTAGTTCAAACTTATATTTTTTTTTACAAAATTACCTTTGCTTTCGCTCAAAAAAGGTTATTTTCTTGAACAATTAAATTTCAAGTGCAGTTTTGCAAGGGGAACAGATTAAGCATACGACGTGTTGTGCAGTTATCATCGAGATGGCAACGATTCCTAACGGAACGCCATGCGTCGTCGTCCCATGGCGGAGGTCTGTCCCCATCCCCCTCCCCCCGCTCCCTGGTCGTCGGTAATTTATGATTCGCAGCGCACGGCCTGCAAATGATCTATTGCCCATTGCAGTTATCCGAACGGCGGAGGAGGAGCAGGATAGGACTTTGGATCGGCACTTGTTGCATCAGCAGCGGTACAGTATAACAGCTACAAGTGATTTCTTTCGCATCGCAGCCTCCAGGCGCTCCTGACAGTTACAAAGTGCGCCCACTAGTTGGCGGTCAGGCTAAAATGACCCAAGCCACAAGCCAGGCACAATGCAATGCATATATGCGTTGTCGACGCCATCTCCCAACCTTTGATTAATGGACTTTTCGTGTTGGCTTCGATTCTGGCCCGGCGTCATAAATAAACCCAAAACTGCAACAACAGGCAAAAGGTGGAGCACGTCGGTGCTGAGCACATTTATCATTGGTAAACTTTATTCTTTACATTTACATACAACACGTTAAAATTACTTGTCCAATTTTATTTCTTTAGATATTACAATATTAGGCTTATTCGTATGGATATCGTAATTGAAGTTACTTGAAAATTGAAAAATAATGTTTACAAAACAGAAATCTATGTCAATTTTAAACTAATCTGGCTACTATAAGTTACGATTTTGTGTGTGTTCCGGCGGAGCGCAGGATGGGAGAGCTAGAGAACGATCGAATGCTGACGAGCATGAGTAAGATCTATACAATTCGAGCTGGCTTGGCTCGATCTATTGCTTTCGCTAACGCTGATCCTTTCGCTGTGGCTTCTGCTGCTGCTGGAGTTTCTGCTGATTGCTTAGACCGACTGATCTCGACCTGCTGCACTATAAGGGGGCACTATAAGGACGGCGGGTCGTACTGGAAGCCCGGGTTGTTGAACTTAAAGCGCGCAATCTCGAACTGCAGTGACTCGTACTGGATGTCGGCCAGCCGCTTTAGCTGATTCGCAATCTGCAGAGCATCGCTGCTGCTCAATGCGGCGCCAAGCGAACTCGGCTCCCGCTCTAGTTTTGTACTGTGCAGCGGCGGCACTGCCTGCATGTTGGAAATGCATCGCGGCGCATTTTTAACTGAAATGTTAGAAAAACATTCAAAAATTGTTATAATTCGAATGGACAAAGGAGTTATTTGCTATCTAAACACATTTTTAAGGACGAAAAATCTATGAGTAAAGTTGAGATACCAAACTAATTTCGGTAATAATTGACCCTTATATGTTTGAATATAATTGAAGTTATTTGAAAAATCATGTCCATCTCGGAACATTTAGCACATGTGTCTGATCGCGGTTTAAATCTAATCAAATCAAATGCAATATTAATTAAATATATCAACTTGTGTGCTTGCTTTGGTATAAGTTAAGGGACTTGACAATTTAAATGCTCTATTGAAAATATTTGAAGTTATATGACTTTGGGACATAGAAAGACAGACTAAGAACCAAGCAAACAAAATTCTGTCACAAGGAAATCAAGCGTTTCCCTTAATCGAATTGCATTAGGTACCTTCGTAGATGATCTGCTCCCTGGGCTGCGTCCGCATACGCTTGACGGGCAGCTCGCCATTGATCAGCTTGTTGCCGGATGAGGCCGTACCCGGATTGATGACTGCGGCAGCCGGCCTACGGGATGTGACGAATTCCACGGCGTGAGGCTGCACCGTATGGTGGTCGTCCTCCACTTGCTCGAAGGATGTGTTGTCCACGACGATGGTGCGATAGGTGCCGCCGCCTGTGTTGACCGCAGTGGTGGACGCCGTGATGCCGGCCTCGGCCAGATTCTCCTCCATCATGTCCTCGTGGTCGACGTGCTCCTCCACCATCTCCTCCTCGTCTACCTCCTCGTTGATGGCCTCCTCCACGGCGGCCTGCAGTTCCTTTTGAAATGCCGCCGAAGTGCGCTGGCCCAGTTCCTCCATGTCGTCGTCGTGCTCGTCCTTTTCGGACTTCATGTTCAGCAGCGTTTCGCCAGTGGTGCTGGGCACTTTGCCGAAGAGATCCAGAGCTCGGGTCTCCACGGAGGTCATCGAGATGTCCTTCTCCGTGGACAGCAGGCTGCGTCTGTACTTGCAGCGCGTGGTGTTCTTCCAGTCGTTTAGGCGCTGCATCGGGGAAAGGGATAAAAGAGATTAGAGTAAGGGGACATGGGGTATCCAGTGATCACCTAACCTTGCGCCACTCCTCCGGAGTGAGCGTGGGTCCGGAACTGCACTTGTTTAGCCGGTCGGAGAGCTCCTTCCACTTTTTGGTCAGATAGTTCAGGTCGTAATCGCGCGGCACTCGTCCGGTCGCGAAAATGGGGTCGCTCTCCATCATGTCGATGTACATTTGGTATTGCTCCGAGGAGGTGCGCTTCTTACGGCGGTCCATCTTGCCGGTCATCCGCTGTCCTCGCTGAGTCCTGGAGTTCTGCTTTTCTTGATAAAATCGGCCGCAAAAGCGCTAAAATGCAAATCGACGCCACAAAAAGATGCGAAGTGTTCACAAACAATTGCACGCGTTTGGGATTTTCTGGCGCATGTTAGTTGCAGGCGACGCAGGGTTGTATTCGGCATATCAGTGGTGCGCATTGTGCATTTGGCGGGAAACGCCAGACGATAGTTCTAGATCGAAAAAAATTGCGACATTAAAAATAGCTGTTTTTAAATAACTAAAAACAATCTGGCATTTCCACAGATTTCTAATAAACATATTTCTAAAAATAGTTTTCTGGCAAAAAAAAGTTTGGCCCCTCCTTTGCTGCCAAGTAAATCCCTTAAATTAGCATTGTTTATTTCTCATACCAATAAAGTAACAAAAATAGTAAGAGGTTTAGCATATGTGGTGGTCAAAAGTTGGCCTAGATTTAAAGTAACGCGACTTTATACAACCTTATATCCATTGGGCTAATTAAGCTAGCATAAAGTGGCGTCCTTAATTTTGAGTTGCAGCTTAAACAAAAATTAAAAATTTAACTTTTTCCACTAAACTTTTCGAGCGTTTCTTTTCTTCTGAGTGGCCGTGATATACTTCTTCTAGCAAATTTTCATCCAGTAAGCCAAAAAACTGAGCTTGCGTAATACAATGGTTGAAATTTATTATACACTTTTTATCACAAAGATATTTATAAAAAGTACAGTGATTTTGGGTCCCCGAAAATTAAAGAATACAAATAGAATATTTTTTCCGTTAAAGCATATGTTTTTCAATTCATTATTAAAATATACAGTATTTTCAATTTTCGTCATTAAAAGATGTCAAGTCGATAAGTGACAATCAATCTATTTTTTGGCAAACCAAAATGGAAACTTACGTATGTATTTAATCAATATTTTCAACTTAAAACTATGTGCGATATAATAGATTGTCGAATAATCTGCCTATACAACTGCGCTTATAACGAGTAATATTTTTTTAAATAAACATTTATAGTTCAAAATCATTACTTTCGTTTGCATCGATCGTTTCTCTGAACTAATTTAAACTATCAACCGAAGACCCTTAATTCTTCGCAGAATTAACAGGTCCCTCAATGCTTACATACTAGATTGTACAAAAGACTATTAGTTACACTGGAGCTATAATTCCGGGACATACTCAAATCCGGGATTATTGTACTTGAAGCGGGCTATCTTGAAATGCAAAGAGGCCTCGTGAATGTCCGAAATGCGTTTCAACTGCTTCTCGATTTGTTTGCCAAAGGAGGCGATGGGGTCACTTATGGCGGACTGCACGGGTGTTGCTATATTCGTTACTAAAATAAAAAGGTTTATATATACGATTAGATATGATTATATCCTCTACGAATCCGGAATGGAAACTACCTTGGTAAAAGATCTCCCCGGGACCTTCCAGCCTTATCCTTTTAACGGTATTGTGTCCATTAATAATCGTGGGGTGAATTTCCTCTGGTGTTACAAGCTCGTGGTACTGCTCGTAATCCTCTTCGTGCTCCTCCAAATCCTCCTCTTCGTCCTCCACATGCTCCTCCTCCTCCACTTCTTGAAAACCCGCTGAAGCAGGGAGCTCTCGATATGTCGGTTCAAGGGAGAAAATTTGCAGAGCTCGGTTTTCCAGCGGAGTTATATTCTTATCATCCGAGCTAATGCTGCGACGATATTTGGAGCGCGTACTGTTCTTCCAGTCATTCAGTCGCTGAAATTAAGGGTCAGTTGCCTGGGACTATATGTGTGATCCTCTAACCACCAACCTTTCGCCATTCTTCGGGCGACAATGTGGGACCATTGGTGCATTTGTTCAGCTGATCGCTCAGCTCCTTCCATTTTTTTGCGTCCAGAGTGCGACTCAATTTGTTGGCCGACATCAGCGGATTCTCTTCCATGAAGTCCAGATAGATCTCGTACTGGTAATAAGATGTGCGCTTATTGCGGCGGTTCATTTTGCTCCGGAATATAAGCCAGCAATTAAAAACAAGCCAGTTGAAACCGACGCCACAAGAATGCAATAAACGAAGAACTATCGATAACACAATCAGTGCTGGCTCACTAGTTCCTCAGACCAAAAAAAATACCAAAAACTCCACTATCAAAACAATCAATATGACCAATATTAAATAGAAGTAACTAGAAGCTTTTTAACTGTCATTTCACTTATTATGAAATTGCTAAATATCTTTTATCCGTTTTGCATTGGTTTGTTATTTTTTAGGTCCGTTGTGTGTGGATAAATTCAAGGTTTACCTTCTGCTAAAAATACTTATACATGGCCTTTCACAATACACAAAAACAAATTATGAAGAACAATTTGTTAACTCTACTACTCCAAAATTAATAGGGAACATAAGATCAATAAGCATTAGGCGAAGAACTCGTAAATGCGAAATTTTACATAGTCAACGAAATGGTACATAGTCAACGAAAATTGTTGAACTTACGGAGGAGTTTTCCTTCATTTCATAGTACTATCAATTTATTTTAGAAAAGACAAGCAAATAATTTTATATATATATTTTTTAAAGTATTTAAAAAGAAGTTGGACCGCCACTTTGAGCAGTGGCTTGCAGCATTTCCCGGTTCGCGAGTAACGGTCACATTGTAGTGCACAAAAAATCGAGTTTCCTGCATTTTCAGTTGCTTAAATACCCGAGTTATAGTGCGATTTCTGGTCTGAAAAGAGTGCGATATACAGGTGCAGACCCTTGACCATCTTCCAGACCGGAAGAGACTACGGAAAATGTGGCCACAGGCCCGTAAAATGACCGTGGAAAACGACGCATGAGACCCGAATTGCGAACCAGATGATAGAGTAGCGTGCCAGCGAGAGCGAGCGAGAGAGCAACGGAGAGTGGGCGAGAGGGCGAGAGGGAGAGGTAGAGAGGGGGAGGCCAGAGTAGACACAAAACTCCGAGCGGAGTTCTCGCCCATTTTCCGGCCGATTTCGCAGTCCATTCGGTTGCCATATAGTCCGGAATATGGCCGAGGAGGCGCCGGGTGTCAATGCCGGCGACGTGCCCGACTCTGGGGCGGAGGATGTGGGCGCCTCGGTGATCGTGGAGCCGGGATCAGAGGGCTCCAATGCCGGAGTCCGTACTCTTCCGGCTGCAGCGATGAAGTTCGCCGACCTCACAGAGAGTGGCAGCGAATCCGGGGACAACGAGGGTGAGGAGTCCGGGACCGTGGGCCCCGAGAATGGCAATGCCAACAGTGAGCCGGGGACCAGTGCGTCCGCCACGACGGAGGACGCAGCGGCACGCTCCTCGCCGCCGCCCAACTGCGCCATCTGCTTGTCCCGCTGCCGGCGCAAGTGCTTCACGGACTCCTGCATGCATCAGTTTTGCTTCAAGTGCCTGTGCGAGTGGAGCAAGGTGAGTGGCCTACTGAACCGTAAACGGAACCAGTCCTCTAAAGCTATACCCTTCTGTCCCCCACCCGCAGATCAAACCCGAGTGCCCGCTGTGCAAACAGCCCTTCAAGACCATCATACACAATGTCCGCACCCTGGACGACTACGATCGCTACCCGGTGCAATCGTCGTCGCCGGATCACCCTTCCCTACGATTCCATATAGTCAGGCGTCCCAGGTTCATGCCGCTGGTGCAGAACCAGGCCGTGATGACCAACGACATTGAGGCGGGCCTGGCCGCCGGAGCCGCGGGCGAAGAGGTCCTGCCAGCAGCCGAGGTGGCTGCCGGCCGTCACTCGTACAACCGCTTCGAACCCTACCGCATGGAGCTGATGAACTTCTACCGGCACGACCAGGACGCGGCCACCTCGGGCTCGCTGAGCCAACTCTGGCGGCGCTACGTGTACGACCGGAAGCTCTATGCCCTGCCCGTCAGCGACAGCCTGACGGGTCACTTTCGCGAGTGGAGTGCCCGCTTTTATAGGTGAGTGCTGATACCATCCATTCTACTCTTTGTTTTCCCCATGCTAAGGACTCCCGCTTTTTATTGCAGAAACAATCCCGCCCAGATGCATCGCCTGATGCCGTGGATCCATCGCGACATTGTCTGCCTGCTGAGGAATGCCGCCCACAGCGTGAGCACTGTGGTGCAGCTGATGCACGACATCCTGCCCATGACCAACATACTGGGTCCCACATTCCGTCGCCGGCTGTCGCCGTATCTGGGCGAGCGCACCAGCCACTTCATCCACGAGCTGTTCAACTTTGCCCGCTCGCCCTTCGACATGATCGGCTACGATCATGTGGTCCAGTACTCGGCACGCGTGGCCGAGGAGGTGGAGGTGGACCTGCTGGACATGGTGGAGACGCAGTCCTCGAACGGCAGTGATCTTCACCTGGAGGTGGCTGACGGCGAAGGGGAGGCCGCCAATGCCGAGTCCTCGAACGATTGGAGCACCGCCAGTGCTCGCCGTCCGTCGACCAGTGTGATTGTGACCAATCCCGGTGCCACACATTCCTTCAGCGTGACAATGGCCAGCGATGGCAGTGAGCTGCCGGGCATCTCCATACGCCGCACCACCACATCCAATGTGGGCTCCCAAACGGTGGCCATCAACCTGAGCATGCGGCGTCCAACGGCGGCGGCTGCGGCGGCGTCAGCAGCAGTTGCCAGCGAAGAGGCGGAGGTCATAGAGATCGACGATGGCGACGCCGCTGCGAATGCAGAAGTGGCAGCCATCAACGATGGGAGCAATCCCAGCCGGAGGCACGCCGGTGCCACTCTCCCCGTGAGTGCCCACATCGAACTGCAGAGCAGCAGCAGCTCGGGCGACGAGGATGAGTGCGTCTTTGTGCTGGAACTGAAGCCACCGCACCTGCGCACACCCGAGCAGGTGAGCTTGGACTCGAACAGCGACTCTGATGTTGTGTTCGTGAACGAGCAGAACGAAGCTCCTCCGGCTGCGAGTCACGACGACCAGGCGATACAACCCACTGTGGACCAGTCCTCCAGGGATCAGGGCTTGTTCATGGGCCCCAGCACCAGTGCGGCGGCCAACAGGGGCAAGAACTGGAAGCTGGTGGTGGAGGAGGCTCGTCGCCTCGATCAGTTGCGCACGGTGCGCTCAACGCGCTCGACACGCTCGAAGAGATCGCGTCAGCGCTCTTCCATCCTTGTCCGGAGTGCCAGCGGCAGCAGCAACAGCAGCTGCAGCAGCTCTTCCTTCCACTTGAGCAGCAGCAGCGAGGACAGCAGTGCCAGCAGTTCCTCCAATCCGGAGCCAGCCAAGAAAAAACAACGCAAGAAGAAGGCCTCAAGCAAAAAACGTTCAAGCGAATGTGCAAAGGGCAAACGATCATCTCGCAAACGGAGACGCCGCGCGGAGGATGTGGATCAGGGTCTGAGCCAGGTGGAGGAGGCCATTCTGGAGCTGCGGAGGCGGATGGAGCGGGAGCATACCGAACAGCAAGCCCCGGAGCAACCGGACAGCAGCAGTGACAGCCACAGTTCGTCTGGTGACGAATCTGGTGGCGATAGCACCGAGACTTCCGGTTCGTGACGATTCTTATCGCAACATTGCCTACATTGATCTATTGAATACATTGCTGTAAATATGGTAAAAAAACGAATGATGATTATATTCTGAACATAATTTTGGAAAAACTGCGGACAAATATGGAGAACTTTATACATTTATACTATTCTTATCGCAACGTTGTCCAAAAGTTTGCTTTAAAGATGATTCGAAACTAATATTACAGGATAGTTCCAAACTTATGTTCAGAGTATAGTCATCAAGTTGTTTTTTACAACATTTAAAATTACTGCAATGTATTCAATAGATCATTGCTGGCACTTAACTAAGTAGTATTACATCTCTTAAAAATATAAAGATAATTAGATAAATTAGTTATCTTAACCCGAGAGGATAAGTTGTTAGTGCTTTAAAGAAATTTCAACCTGATAAATCTCTAATATTATCATAAATTGTAGAGCACATTGGTAAATATTGGTTGTGTAATACCAACTATCTTCTAAAACCATCTGAAACCAAAGATAATTCAAAGCAATTTCACAAATGGTTGAAACCCCTCTAGTTTGTATGGATGTAGATAAGTAGAAGTGTTGTATTCTCTTCCATTTCGATTTGTAAACAATGCTGTTTGTCCACTTTTTCCCCAGGTCACCCCAACACCAATAACAACAACAACTCCAGCAGTGATGATTCAGATGATGACAGCACCGAAAACCTACAGCTAAGCGCTCTGCGGGCCACTCTAAAAGCAGAGGCAACTCTGGAGGATCGTAAGCCACTCAAACTGGAACTGAGGATGCCCGATGGCGATGAAGGGGAGCCGCAGCCGGAGTTGCCCCAAAACGCAGAGACGCTTCCAGCGCCGCCGGCGGACGCCGAACCGGGATGCAGTGCACCGAAACGGCGACGCAGCTGCAGCAACAGCAATCAGTCCAGCCAGAGCGCCAGTTTGGCCAGCAGTTCAACAGCCACATCGAGTTCGGTGCCGCCCAGTTCGTTCAGCTGGAGGGCAGCGGGTTATGCCGGCGATCCCCTGATGCGTGGTCCGGTGGCGATGGAGGAGCACGACATAGCCAACTCCCTGATAGAACTGTCCACGCTGACGCAGCCGCGGGAGATCGGACTCTTCAACGAACATTCTGATGGGGCAGACATGTCGCTTAGTTTTCTGCGCAACACACTACGCGGCAGCTCACATGCTTTGGATCAGGATGACGCTCATCTGGGCATCTACTCCGATGCAGATGCAGATGAAGATGCGGATCCGGATCCGGAGCCCAGTAATGGACAAAGTCCCATGGAAGCAGCAATCGGCGTGATTGGAGAAGCAGAGGTGGAAACCGCCGAGGATACAGCCACTGCCACTGAAGAACAAGATGAACCGGATGAGGACGAAGACGAGGACGATGAGGATGACGATGACGATGAAGGCGGAGATGAAGATGAACAGGAGGAGGAGAAAGCAGAGGAGAATGAGGTGGAGGAGGAGGATGATAGCGACAACAACGATGAAGAGGAGGAGGACCCGGAACCGGAACCGGAGCCGGAGAACAATGACCCAGACGATGCAACCTGGGCTCTAGCGTTTCTGGCTTAAGCGATAGATTCGATTTTTATTTAAGTTGTTTATTTAAGGAAGTGTTTAACTGGTTTCCGTCTTTGCTTGTTTCGATTCCTGAATCCCCTGAACCCAAAAATATAATAGTTATTGTAACCTTGCTATGTAAGTAATAAAAACCAGTAAGTGTAAGCTCAAAGTAGATGTACTCTAGCAATAGGGTTGCCATTTTAAGTTGTATATATTCAAACCCCTATATCTCTAAAATTTAAAGTTTAAATATAAATGTATGTTTACACACCTTTCAACTGCAACATTGTTTGCATGTTCTCGCATATAGCCCATCCCCAAAATCACATTCTATATCCCCGAAGCTCAGTCCCTTCCCTTCCCATCCCAACATCGATTGTAAATGTATTTATTTAAGTTAACCACAACCTACATATACTTACTATACTTATGGAAACTAGCTCTACTGTTCGTAGCTTATAAATCACAAAACTGGCGCCGATCAATATGTATATGGCGATAGTGTTAATGTTTTTTGCATAAATGGGCGTGGCCAGTTATGAATTTTAGTGTACTCTGCATACAAAGAACAAAAATATCTATAATACGAATCAAATACATAATGATTAAATGTAGACCATTCGATTTATTATTTAACGGGTTGGGTTTTTCAATGGATAAAATCAGTGCAACTCTTCTGTGCTTAAGCTTGGAATTAATGGTGTTCGATTCATTAAAAAAATATTTGAGAAATTTGAATTCATTAGCTGAAGAAGAATCTTGAAACTTGTATTTTAATTTTAATAATAGCGAACTTTAGTTCTTTTAATTAATTCAATTTTTGCTATAGCTCCAAGAGCAAGGAAAAGTTTATAATTCACTGCTTCGAGTAAACACTGTAATTACAAAAGTTAGTTCTCATTTCCATCGTTCCAATTTTCTTTCGTCGTATCGTGCAGAAGGCCTTAAGTCCGATAGTACAGTAGGGCACCATAACTCCGTTGTTTCTGCGCAATAAACAAAACTTGATTCAGTAGGCTTCTTATTTCGGCTTATGTGAATTATATTGGTTATTGTTGAGTAAACATGACCAAATTACTGGGGAAAAGGCTTGTGTGTCCAGGTGACAGAAGTCAGGGGAACGATGGAATCCGATTTGAGACTGACAACTCCAGCAAATTCCTTTGCCCAGTCACTTCGAGCTGAAGTTTCGTTGGAGTTGCACTAAGTTACATAATTTTTGATAGATCGGGACTAAGTTAGTAGCCAGTAACTATGATGCCCCGTTACATGGTCCAATGGCGAGTGTACGTCTATGCCAACTCGCTGTATTCGCTGCCGGAACGCCATAAGTCCGACTATCGCGATGTGTCGCCGCAATATTTTAGGTGAGTTGTAGCTCCCAGCGGAAAACTTGAATGATCTCTGCGAAATCCTCATATTTCACAGCCGCAATCCCTTCGAGATCCATCGGGTTATGAACTGGGTGAACCGGGATATTTCGGTGCTCGTTAAAACCGGTAAGGCGGATGTCTTCTGTCTGTACGAGACGATCCTCGACCTGCTACCCCGTGTCAGCATGAAGAGCTCGAGCTTCAGCTCGGAGCTGTTCCTCTACATTGGCCCCAAGACCCATCAGTTTGTCCACGAGCTGATCAACTTTGCCCGATCCCCGTACAACGACCTCATCGCCTACGAGTGTAACACCCAGTACAGGGCGTTGCCGGAGGATGAGAATGCCCCCAGCACCTCGTCGATGGCCAGAATGCGTCGGGATTTGACCCTGCGACTGCACAGCTTTGTGGAGTTCTCGCGTCGCATCAACCACGACGATTGCGGCGGCTTCGAGGCCGATCTGGAGCTGGAGGACGAGGACTACGGGGAGCTGCAGGATCTGATGAGAGAGCAGCTCGAGCAGCCTTTGCCGGTGCAGCTGGGCAGGCCAACGCCGGCCCCCAGAGCGAGCCAAGTGGCTACTGGTCAGGGAGGTCAGCAATCAGCGGCCCAAACAGGCGGACAAACCCAGCAGCAGCAGCAGCAGCAGCAGCAGCCGGCTCAGCAATCCCAACAGCCAGGAGCACAGGCAGGAGCACACCAAAACCAAAACCAGCAGCAGCAGCAGCAGCAGCAGCAACCAGGACATCAGCCGTCTACATCCTCCTCCAGCGGCATGCTAGCGAACAGAATGCAGGTGGAGGATCTGGATCTAGAGATGGCCATCGAGCGCAGCATGTTCGATGCCAGGACAGGACAGGATGGCAATCTCGTCCTGCCAAGCGGACGATTGATCCGTGTAGGCAATGCCCGTTTATTGCGCAATCTCCACGCACACGCATTAGGATCGATATCCGGATCTCGGCAAACTGCCACTCGCTCCCGTCGTCGTCATCCGCGCTAGGATAAACCTTTAACTACAAATGTCCTGTTGCCACTTTTTAGGCTCATGTATAATACATAGTACCAAATGCGCTGCGATCTCTCTGAATGCTCGCGAATACGGCAAATAAAAAAGGGTTCAAATAGCATTAAAAATTGATAACGATAACTGAAAAAGGGATGGCCCATCAATAAGAACAGGCCGTGGAAAATTGCGTGCCAAATATGCCTTTAGCGCATATTTCCTTTGTCTTAATTCCGCCCAAAAAGGTAGCAGTGCACCCCCCATCCCCCCTCCCTCCTCCTCCCTCCCACATCCCTTGTCACATGGCGCATGAAAAATTGAATTACACGCACTTTTGCGCATGAACGAGAGCTAAAAAAAAAACCAAAAATTGTTGAGTGAAAAATGCGGCCGATTTAGGGTTTTCGCCGGCAAAATGGGCCCGGAGTTACGGGAGTTACGGGAATTACGGATGCGGAGGTGGCCCAGCTGCTTGTGGTACCAAATTCACGGCCAGAAAATTGAGTTAAATATTCCTTTTTTTTTCGGTGCGGCTTGCTCGCCTTTCCCTGTTTTTTTTTTTTTTTTTTTTATCGACAGAAGGTATAATATAATTGTCCTGCCGTACACGGTAATTCAATGCATATTTGATTTTATGATTCCGTCGGCACAACGGAGCATTAATGCATATCGAATAAGGCCCTCCGAAATCGAATCGAATCATCATAATTGTCAGGGGGCGTAAACTTCGGCCATTAGGCCAGCTAACTGAAGATGAAAGATGCAGCTCGGCGGTGTAAAACTAATTTTATCATATTAACCTTTTTTAAATTGAAACATTTCAACCAAATTGTGTTAAATATCAATAAGAAAGAGTTATCTATATTGGATAAATATCAAAGACTCTTAAAACGTGTTCGTGATCATATTGACTTTTTCTAAACTAAATTTTTTTTGTCATCAAATTGTGTTTTTTATTTTTAAAAAAGGGATAAACAAATATTGAAAACTATTTAAATTATTAATGTAAACGATTTTAAAGATCATTTAATCTAAGAATTATAAATGGATACTAATTGCATTCGTTTATATGCACACTCTATTAACACGTTGCCAGGATAAAAAAAAAAACTTCTACCATTGGGCCAAGACAACTGTGGATGAAAAACGCAGTTTGAAGCTGACTAAAGGACTCCATCATTCATCACGGGATCTCGGCTTAGCTGTGGAAAAGTTATCCCTTAGTCTAAATGTCATTAGGGTTTTGTCGGCTGCATTTGCTTGGCTCGACTGACAAACTAATTTGCGTAATGTTGACGAAAAACTTTTTATTTGACTTGCTGACTTGGCCCAAAGCCCACCCACATTGCCGCCATCTCATTTCTTTTTCTTCGAAAGACAGCCAACGAATAAAAGCGAGACGATTCAAAACTTTGTGCCAGTTTGCGTTGCATTTCAAGACGTTGAAATGGGTCGGGGTGGCAATTGTCAGGCTGCGGTGCCGTGGCTAAAACTAGTTTGCCAGCCAGGATTTAAGTTTAAGTTGCAAATTACGCCGCCGACTTGAATTAAACGTTTCAGATATCACGCATACGCACCGCTGACTCGCAGGCGCCTCCTGGCCTTTGGCTTTAATGTGCATTTCATGAAAATGACGTTCACGATCTGCATAAAATATTCATATATACCGCTCAAGATGGCCGAGATTTTCCGGGACCCCAACGAATTATCCGGCATAAGGGTTCTTTTCCGAGTGTTCGTTGCGTTGTTTGGCTTATCTCAAATTATTAAATTATGCGCGTGGCGCAGCGAGCAATTAATCAAGACCACCGCCAAATGACATGCGGTGCGGGAGTTATGAGTTCGCATTTAGGCCGAATATTTTCGGGCCAGGATCTGATTTATGAGAGGACTCCGGCCACCTGTCGCCCCCACAGCCCTTCGCCTTTCTAAGCCCTGGAGAAAGCTCCGACAATCTGCTCATCGTCCCGCTCGATATCCCGCTGCAATGTGTCACTTTCGGTTTTATTCTTGTCTTGCCTCAGATTTCCGACCCTCATCCGTGGATTCCGATTTTGCAGGGACAGAAATGTATTTTACTGTTTATATGTTTAAGTAATGAAAACGAATTAATTTAATTTAAATTTTTAATAATGCATTTTCACAAAAATAGTTAAGTCTTTTGATTATGTTGATCGTCTGGTTGTTATACACCAATATATTGTTATTTAAATGTGCATAAAATACAATATTGTTGTTTATGATAATTTAAATTGCATATTAAATCGTAGGATTTATACCATTTTGCAAAGATCGAATAAAGAGCCTTTTTGTATACTTGTTTTCAGTGTAAATATCGCATAGAAGTATAAGTTGTCAATGAGCCACTTATTTATAAACATATATAAATAAATAAAAAAATATAATATAATCTGTATTAAACGTTAAGTCTTTTATATGAAATGATGACGAATATTGCAAGCAATATCAAGTTTTTTCTCAGTGCACTCTGCTGTTTTTCCCCTTTCGGCACTTCCCAACTTTAATATGTTGGCACAGCACGGAGGCACGGCGTTCGCGTCGAGTTTCCATTACATTGCAGCGGAAGCCGGATGTTGAAATTGTTGAGGTTGCTTCGTCAGCGTGGAAATGTTGTGTGTGCGGGTGTAAGCAGCTTAGCAGACTCCTTCGACGGCTGGCGGTGTTGAGGAAATTGCCAGGAATACCAACCATGGCTACCGCGACGCGATTCGAAATCGATTCCGGACGCAAACACGAAACCCAATCGCGGTCGTTCTTTAAATGTTCAATCAAAAACTTCTCACTTCTCTCTCGAGGAATGATTCAATTTTCGCCACAATTGTCGCAGCTTAACTCTTAAGCGGAAACTCGCCTGTTTGGCTACGTAACCGAATTGAAGTGAAAAAGTCATAAAACAGTAATCACTTTTCAATAAACATAAAAACGTTCATATTATTCAGCATTTAAATCTTTCGAGTATCGCTAAGTATATTTCAAGGGATTTTAAATTTTAAGTTGATTAGTTTTTGTCTTGCATTCATTGAACATACATTTATGTTTAGTAAATTATTTAAGGAAGAGATTATTGGTTTAATACTTGTAATTATAGTATAGGCTTTATGTTATTTTGTATATTCCATTGCTTTAAACATTAAACATTCAATTGAATTCAGCCTTAACAATCGCAATCGAACCTTCAAAGTAAGTGTTGATTTCCGAGAACACGTTTTTATTTTAATTTCTGTGTAAATTGCTCACCATTCTCAGGCTGAAATAAATATTAATGTTCTTTAAATGGGTGATTTTCCTTTACTTTGCTCTGTGCTGGCCTGTTGCGTGACATTCGATATTCGTGTTTTTCCTTTCCGCTGCCGCTGCTACTCCACTGAAGCTGACTTTCCACTTTCTTGCCGAGAAAATGCGTGTGTCATAAATCTACTCCCGCGCCTTTCGCTTAAAATCAAGCTATTTATCACGAGGCGGCGAAGACGACGTCATGCTGCTGCGGTGGCAGCCAGGATACAAGGATGCCTGGATTCAGGGATGCCAAGATGCCGGAATGCCAGAATGCCATAACGCCATAACGCCACTGTGCCGCACTCTTATCATCATCGAAGTGGGCGGAGGCGCATATGTTCCGTGGCTGTTGATGCCTCTCTGCTGGATTTTTTATGGGTCTGCCAATGTGGACCGCCTGCCGAGGTAAAAAGTTGCGGACAACAAACTTTTCTTCACGCTCGGCTCCTTTCTGCTCCTGTTTCGGCTCCCTGGTGCGGGCGAAGGTGACAAGAATCCGGTAATTTGTGCCTTCAAGGTTAAATGTTAATGTTCGCCATTATACAAACATTCGGCGTTTTGTTTTGGCAGCAGCAAACGGGTTATGAACACGTGCGACAGTCCGAAAGGTCCTCGTTGCGTATACGTAATTTTTTATTCTCCTGCTAATTTGACTGCCGTCAGGTAATAATGCTCCCCCACAAGTTGCCATTAGTTTGCTTAGGCTGCCGGCCATAGTTTAAAGAAGCCAAACTAAACACGACCAACGACAATGTTTATGCTTAAATGTTTTTGCCCACTGAGCGGAGTTGGGCGAGCCCAAAAGCCATACAGTCGGACCTCACAAAATTAAATTTATTTTAGATTAATTTTAAGATTAGTGTGAGCAGTTCAGTTAGTGGTTTTCAAAATATTTAACAAATTGTAGGAACGAGTGGCAAAAATTTTTTAAAATTTTAATTTTGTACAATTTTTTTTTGTTTAAATTATTTTATTTAATTTTTCTCAGAACAAAACTATTATTTTAAATAAAACAAAAGAAAACAACCTTGAATAACTTTATTACCGCTTAGCTGAAGATTAAGGTTTAGTTTTTCAAAAATTCAAAAAATCATTTTTCTTGTTTTTTCCCTTAAGTTAAATTTTGGAACGCAAGTCTTTGAAGATTTTCAACAAACTTAATTAATTAAGGTACGATATCTATAGTTTGTGCTATAAATGCCATGGAAGTATGACTGTCTTTGCGGAATGACCTTTTTGGGACTGACTTGCGAGAGCCTTGAAATGGCTGCTAGGCGACCGTCTTAATGGCAGCTCCAAATGTTGCTAATGTTAATTTAAGAAAATATCCCGACTCGGCTGTGTGTGAGTGTGTGTGTGTTGCCTGGAAACACTTGCGGTGCGGCAACATTTGTGCATTATTATTTGCGGTCAAGTCTTTTGCGGCTTGGCCTTTTAGCATATCCAAACCCCTTTGGAACCGCAGCAAATAGCTTTGCCAGCAGCGAACTAATTAAAGAAATATTCATTTCAAAATACTTGTAGCTCCGGCGGATATTACACACACAAAAACACACACTCGCGCTTTGAAACACCGCTTTGGCTTCGCTTGTGTGTGACGTGCATGAGGCAATCAATTACGGCGAACCGTTTTGCCAAAAAAAGCGTGTTGCCTACTTTCCGGCGCCCGCGTGTTTGCCAACACAGCAGCACAATTAATTATGTACATTGGGGCCCCCTTTTTCCACTACTACCCAAACCATCGCCACACCCCCTTTCCCTGCTGTTTGCCCAAGTCTGTGTTTGCCAACACGCAGGAAAAATGTTTGCGGAAATTATGGATGAATTGGGTTTGCCAGCAATTCATTTA